TAAGTTCAGTACCTGATACCAGGCTAGACTCTGTTTCTAATGAGCCAAGCACAACTATTGTGTGTTCAGTTGCTTTTGCAAGGAGCTGCAATCAACTTGCCATTGGACAGAGTGATGGCTTAGTTCGGATCTGGCAGTTACCTCTAAAATTTGAACTGCAGCATTTATGTCGTTTAGTGATTAATGGGTTGGTGCCACCAAGCCAAGTGACACATCTGCCTTTACCAAGAAACTTAAAGGCTTATCTATTATTTTCACCTCTTACTAGTACGAGTTAATGAATGTACTTAAAGGAGATCTCCACTGCTGGAGTAAATGGTAGCTGAAATAGTTGAAAATTTCTTTAAACTACAATTTGCCAATAGAAAAGTAGAAGTAAGCATTGATAAAAGTGTACACTGAAATAAATGTTAGCTTGTTTGCATTTGGAATTTTTGAAATGTCTTCATTTTGGTTCATTTCTTATTTCCTGCTATGCTGGTATTTGTCACCAGTGTTTTGAAACTTTTGCCTGTTTCTGATGCATATCTAATTCAACTTATCTTTCACTTAGGCAACATTTCAATACTTTTATTGGCAACTTCTTTCAATTGTGAAGATTTTTCTCAAATTGAGATCTTGTTTCAGTTCAGATATTTTGATTTTCTCAAATTGAGGTCTTGTTTCAGATCAGATATTTGATGTTCTTCAAATGTGAAGGTATATTTACAACAATAAAGGCTGAAAGTTTCGAAAGAAACTGTGTGGGGCTGCGTCGGTGGGAATAACGAAATAATTTGGATATATCAACAAAGTTGAAATGGTAAATTGGCCAGGGTAATGATTACAAAAGCTCACGTTTCGAGCGTTAGCCCTTGGTCATTCGCTCCGACAAAGGGCTAACGCTCGAAATGTCAGCTTTTGTAATCATTATGGTGGCCAATTTACCATTTCAACTTTGTTGATATATCCAAATTATATTTACAACAGACAGGCAAAACATAGGAACCAATGCAGACTTTCCAGGTAATTAGATCCAGCACTATCAAATGTATTTTTTTTTATATCAATGCTCTAAATTTTTTTATCCCACAGGTTTGAATGAGATCAATTTATCCCTCATTGTATTTGAGTTAGATAAACAAAAGTTATTTATATTACTCAGTGCTATTGTTTGCACTCAAGATTTGTAGCTATACAACTCAACTGCATGATTTCTCAATCCATCTAGAAATGATAACAGTAAGTGGCAGATCCAGAGAATTTTAGAAGAGGTGGCCAAAGAAATTGAAATGAAACCACTGTGCACCAGTCTCCTTCCTCCTGCCCATCCCCCAACTCACTGGTAATGCAGCATTACACCTTGCCCTGAAATGCAGATTTTCAGGTAAACCTTTTTAGGAATAACAGTGATCTTTTTATTATGAATTCTCATACATGACGGGGAAAAAGATACTGAAATAAGAAAAGCTTGTAAAAGAAAAACCCTAATTGCATAGTACAACTAAAATTGTGGTTGACTGTTGGTATAGTTAAAAGTAACCTACAACAAAAATAAGTGGGTCATGGCCTCAGCGATGTAGACAGATCCACAGGAAAAATAAAAATTGTCTGGGTAATTTGCCATCCCAGGTAGGTCTGTTTTGGAAACAATTCTGTCCTCTTTTCATGAGTATGACCATGGGTTGGGGGCATACCCAACACCTTGGGTAGCCTGTGCCAGGCTCTTGATTCCTAAGTGGGTTGTTGTTTGCTTGTTTCTTTGTTGATCACCACTGACTGAGCATGTGAAACACACTACACCTGGGTATAGTTTCTCCCCATACAGACCTTTTGGTTGGCATTTATTTTACTATTGATTCTCTATGTATGCAGAGAGGAGACAAGGCTATTAGACTCTAAATAAAAAAGTAAAACCAGGGATAAATGATAACAGGATCTGCTGGGGATTAAGTTTTGAAGCCATGGCCTTTGACTGATCAGTTGATGGCAGGGAACAAATAGTGTCTAAATCACAGCTGTCAACGATCTCCTTAAAACATGACAAAAATTTGTCAAGATTACATGTTACGTTTCCATGACAACATGGCAGAGCAACTGGCTCCCCGTTCACCAACACCTGTACCTTGTGATCCAGTTTTCCCGCCATTCTTGAGGAGTTGCATGGTACAAAACCACAGCGATATTGGCCGACATAGGAACCATAATTATTAGACGTTACGAATTCTCGCTTGCTCATTTGGAGGTAATTATCTGCGCGCAACGGCACAGAATCTTTTAAAAGTCCAAGAATTGTCAACAACTTAACTACAGTGCTTGATGACGTGAATCGAAATACTCCCCGAAGATCTGTTTGACCTGTCGAGAAGTCACGCAAATTTTTCGTGATTTTGGAGAGCAGAGTGCATTCCATCTTTAGATTTAGCTGGTTTCCATAAGAATGCTCGTAGTATGTTTCCAGATCACCCTGATACTGCATTATGCTGACGTCATCATCTTCTAGTAAGGAACACCAGCTGCTGTCTTTACGGTTCATGACCCCAAAGGCGCAGAGCCGGAAAACCTTCTTGACAAGATCAAACGTTAATGACATCTTTCCTATTATCTGGAGTCTTTGTTCGAGTCGTTTGGTTAAACTCCTTACCTTGGGACCTTTCAAAAAGCTTTCCATTTCATTAAGACCATTTTCGTCGACGTCGATCTCGTACCGAGGTCACGTTTTATAAGACAATAATTTATTCTGATTTTGGCGACCAGAGGACATGACAGCAACGGGTTGAAATTTTGATGGGTTTACAGGACACTTAGATTCAAATAATCAGTAGGCGAACGCGATAGCGCTTTGTGCCGTGCGCGGTTTGTCTGAAGAAACGAAACTGTAATATCTGTTCCAGTATTTCTTGTCGAAGACTGTGTTAAAACGGGCTCGAAACCTTTTGGCGATGCTGTACTATTCAATTTCACCCACGGTTGTTAATTCGCCTGGATTGCCGTCGTTCCATTCCGATGGTTGTTCCATGGTAACGAGAGATTTTGATAGCGGAATGGGGTTTATTTTGTGAAGATTTGGTTGAGCTTGGTTAAAAGTTTATCTACTTCTCCCGTGTCGTCGTCGCTTGGAAATCGAGAGCCGTGATGTATCACCATGTTGAGGTGAATAGGCTCACATCTTTCCGGATATTTTAATAGGGAAGTAGAGTTATTGAAGTGGTAACTGTGCTGTTTTCGTTCCATAGCGAAACGCTTGCAAACCTCCAGCATGCCGTAGGCAAAACAGTTGAATAATAGCGAGTACAAGCAGTTTCAAAACCATTTTGAAGGATGTTCGTGGCTGTGTTTATCTTGAGTATCTGTGCTATAACGACGTGCTGTTTGGAGAGCTTGGATACATAACCGAAATGTCACGCATGCCATTGAATTTACAATAAATTGTCACGTCAAAGCACGTCATGACATCATTGCTTTTTGAAACAGCGATCTCGTCATGGTGACTGAAATGGGTACTCCAAAATCAAGTTTCCGGGTAAGAATTGGAACCTATTACTATTATATTTTGTAAAGTCAAAAACCTGATTTTGAGTAAACTCCTTCGCAGTGCCTTTTATCAGCTAGACTAGTAAAAGGAACTTCAGCTAAGGCTAAAATTATACTTAGAAATTATAAATAAGAACACTTAACGCCGGGTTCGTGGTTTATTGTGGTTCGACGTGAACAAAAAAAAAAACATCAAGATTAGCATAAACGAATCATTAGAAAGACAATCTTCATGTTTTGAATCGTTAAGTTTCGTTTCGTGTCACTTACATTTGTCCACGGGTGGGAAGTCAAAACAAACAGCACAACAATCCCAAACATTGAACTAGTTTTCAGGCAAATGACTAAAGGGTAAAAGTTTCTAAAGAAACTGTGGTGCTGCGTCGGTGGAGGTAACAAGGTAATTGGTTATATCAACTAAGCTGAAATTATAAATTGGCCGCCTAACGGGTTAAAAAGCTTTTTAACTCGTTACGGTGGCCAATTTACAATTTCAACTTAGTTGATATAACCAATTAATTTTGAAGCAGCCGTGAATTCTTCGTCTCTTTTTTTGTTATTAATCATCTCCTTCTTAGTTTTCATGTATCTACTTATTCATTCATTTATTAATTTATCTATAAGTACACCCGTCTTTAGCAGGTAAAACATTTTTTTAAGCGACTTAGCTTAGTCAATCATATCTACCTACCTTCAAAATGTTCAACATATATCCCTGAATATTTAAAGACTGTAGTAAAAAAACATAATTTTATTACAGTTCATTTGACTGGGGATAATAAAAACATGCCTTTAGTACAATTCATCTGACTGGGAATAATAAACACCAATTCCCTGATGATGACTAGTTTAAGGGAATCTGAACAAGCAGAACTATAATGGCACTAACAATAACAATGCATTATTTCTATAGCGCCATGTCCATTAGCTCATGACGTTTTACAACACTTTGCAGAGAAACTTGGTCAGACTGCATTGAGCAGTTAACAATTTTGAATGAAGGTTTTGCAGATGTCCTCAATTTCGGACTCGAATCTACACCAAAGCACTGTGAGCAATGATCCCTTCTCTTTGTGAGAGATGACGCAGGTGATTGGGCCTACCATTTATTGTCCTTATCTGAGAAGACTGAACGTGTAATCCTTTGCAGATGTCAAAGCAAAGGCCAGCACATTCTCCCCAATCATTCTAAGACGCTGAGAGTTGATCTGGTCTGGAGCTTGAACCCTCGACCTACCGTAGGGAATGGCAGTACGTCCGGTGCTCTACAATCTGAGCTAACTAGAACAGGTTAACAACTTCCTCACGGAAACGTTTGCGTGGGAGAGTCTTGCGGAAGCGTTTGGTCGTGTTAGTGGCAACAGCTTTAAGTAAACTTCCAAACTGAATACATTGACTAAAAACGCGAAAGCGATGTTTGTCAGAACTAAACCTGGGGCCATGCAAGTCCACAAGGATGCCAAACAAGATAAACGAGCAGGACTTGTAGGTAAGATGTGGTCGCTGATATACTTATCATTTCATGCTAACTTGCAGTGTATTTCATCGGAAAAGTGGAACATAAAAGAATCGAGGATTTACTGTAAAGGTTGTATATGTGTTAACTGATTTAAGTTAACCACATTAGAATTACCTTTGCATTTTTTGAAGAAAAAATGACAGCGTTTTCTTGGACGTTGTCGCAAATTACATCGAAATGCAAAAATGTGTTTGTAAATAATAAGATAGCTCTGCTTTGAACGCGATAGCTTGAACTTTGCCTTCGTCGTTTTTGAAATTGCAAGCTCTGTATTGCAAAACAATAAAACAAAACAAAAACCCGGATGGATGTTATATTTTTTTCTTATTTGGAAGACTCCGTTCAAAAACAGCAAAACAAGTTAAACGTAGAGGTTAATTGACCTACTTCCTACGGAAAGAAGGTCCATTAATTACCGATTGCGAAAAATAGTTTACGAAAGTAAATTCTAGATAAGCACGTTCCACTGAAAAAACGTGATTAGAAAAAGGCTCCCCTAAACTCCACAACAATACGAGTAATTCAAAACGCTGTCTCGCGAAGTGTTTCAAGTCAAAGGAATTAAGAGCAAAATAAATAGTGTACTTTTGTTTTGGTCGTTAATTTCTCGTGACATTTTCTCGTGCTCTTACCATGCTACGTGCTAAATGTTTAATTTTTTTACGACGAAAACAAACAGATGTTTTGCAACCTTTCTTTTGTTATTTTTGTCCACGTAATTCCTTATTTAGTAATATCAAAAGAGGATCATTTGGTTTTTGCTTGTGGCAAACTACAATAAATGGTCCTTAAAACGGCGTCACGGCGCGTTTCTTACGGCGTAGAATGTGAATATAAAACTCGATATCTGATTTCATATTCTGTTTTTAGTCAAAGGTAAATCAATAAAATCTTTTTTCGTTGTTTCACGCTCGTGACAAGACGAAAAAGCCTTTTCCTTTGTTTCATTATCGAGCTTAAAATTTGCAATCTTTCCTCTTCAAATTACTCGCGCGAAACTTTCGACATTGCGCGCTGATTGATTTAGAAGTTTGCAAGACGCGACCGACCCTCAAATGCAATAAGAAAAAGCCTTGCGCGTCAGAGAGCTCTATAGATGTGTGGTAGTGCATCGTACCGTGGAATTTGAAGGCTTGTGGTTCGATTATCCGTTGGCACTCAGGACTTTTCCTAGTTACGCGTTTGTGACAAGAAGAAAAACATCTCTCTTGGAGAACAACATATTTTTTTTTCATATTCAAATCTCTCAAATCAATACATGTATTTTAGAGAGCGATTTAAATATCTTTAAGAGTCGAAAATTTTTTGTCGACAATATCAACATTCGATTTATTTCTAGTCTGCTTCATTAACTGCTGGGTTGTTTTACGATTAAATTGCAGTTATCCGCCACACGGTAAATTTCTTTGAGGAACTGCCTTTTTTTCGCGTCAAGGGAAAAAAGGAGATATCACGTGTATTTGAATGCTCTCTCCCCTCCCCCTCCTCGTTCCTTCCGTTCCTAGAGGTAAATTTAGCCATCTTCCGATAACTCCTGTTTCCCACTGGATAATGAGGATGCAATTCCCCCGTTTGTTTTACCAAATTAGTTAAACAAAACTGAGGGAACCGAACATAGTGCTTTTCCGATCTACTTGTATCCTTTCATAGAAATTTTGGATTCCGCTTTCTTTTGGATAAAATTAATTTTCTGATAAACAGTTTTGCACGATACCTCATTTTTATACTCAAATCTCTCACGGAAGTGGAGGTAAACAATGGTGGATATTTGCCCTACCGCTCAGAGGTTCGGAATACCCACTATTTTCACTGACAATGAGGTGAATATTTGATTTAGTATAAACCCCCCCAATAGCCCCAAATTACATATTTCTGTCAATTTATCGAAAAAGGGTCAGAAATTTAACTCAGGACGCTCAAATTTTGTCTTGATAGTAGCTTGGAGGTAGTCAATCAGTGTACGAGAAAAGTACGCTGAAAAACTGTTCACTTGTGTGTTATATACTAGAAAGACTTAATACGGATAGAAAATATATCATTTTGTGCCATTATGAGACACAGCATGTCATTTACTGATTTCGAAAGAATATACTTTTCCACGGGGCTAACGTGAACGAGCGTGCGAGAAATGACTATTTCGTTTGCGCTCTACGAATAACCGCACTGCGAAAATAGCGCCGATGCCATTTCTACAAGAAGATTGTTTTAAGTTTCCATCGTTGCTTACTTGATGTAAGTTAAAGAAACTTGTTTTCATTACGAAAACTGCGGTTAAACATATGATTGACTTGACCTTAAAACTTAAAAGGGGGTTGTGTTTTAAGTGAATAAAGGCTGACAGTTTCGAAAGAAACTGTTTGGGGCTGCGTCGGTGGGGGTAACGAAATAATTTGGATATATCAACAAAGTTGAAATGGTTAATTGGCCACCGTAACGATTACAAAAGCTGACGTTTCGAGCGTTAGCCCTTCGTCGGAGCTCCGACGAAGGGCTAACGCTCGAAACGTCAGCTTTTGTAATCGTTACGGTGGCCAATTTACCATTTCAACTTTGTTGATATATCCAAATTATATTGTGTTTTAAGTAACCACGCCTCAAGTTCCTTTATAAGATTTTCTGAAGTATTTAAAACTTCCCTTTTGGGAAAAGGTCACAAGCGCAGTTTCGAGGTAAATAAGAATTTCTACGCACATCTGCAGAGTAAACTTGTCAATGAAATCATTCCTTTTCGAAAAGCTTGTCTGTCGATTTTTCACCGGGTGGTCAAGGAGAGTTGTCAACTAAGAAAAAACTTTCAATATACTTCCATGGGAACTTCTCTGCGGAAATTCGTGTTGAATTTCAGTCCAAAGCTCTAACATCTGCGGCTTTGTGGCGAGTGGTTCCCACAATGAAGCACAAAAGTCACCACAGCAATGTAGGTATAAAAGATCTTAGCAGTTGCAAGTAGCGCCAAAAGTTCTTTAATGAGTTGCTGAGTAAAATATTGTTGCTCGACAAAGTGTTTTGTTTTTGGGAGTTCTCAATCCATTTTAAAAGCGTCGATCCCTCAGGCGCAGATACGGCAGATACACAAAACACAACATTGTATTGGAGAGGGAAGAGGGAGGTAGACACCAAAGCAGGGAAAAAAAACTGTGCTCTTCTAGACCTTATTCATTGATTATACGATCGTAAAATGGACAGTTTCACAACAAAGAGAAAAAGCGCTAATAAAAGTTCGTCTCGATTGAGTTTATAAGATTAAGATTTTCTGACGTGTCAGACAACCATGGACTGCTAGCCTTTTTGCTTCTCCACCCCTCAGGAGGGACTATACAATTATGTACCCTAACAACTGATTTTCATGCAATTTTTGTTACCGATTTCGAAAAAAAACAAAAGGAATTTCGAGCCTTCTTGCGGTCATTTTTCAGAAATTTGTAATTTTTTTTTCCGGCAAAGTTTACAGGTGAGATGCTTTGGTAAAACTTCGGAGTTGACAGTTGAAATCTCTACTGATCTTCTGATTGCAAGCATTCAGAACAAGGAACGAATAACATAGTTAAATCTTAAATGACTTCGTAGTATTTTCCTGCAACTCTGATTTGATTGATGGAATTTAGACAAAAGGTAATTGCATTTCTGCTTTAGAAAAAAATGAATAATTGAATGAACATCTGAATAAGTTACCTGTGTAATGATTAGGTAGATGGGAGAAGAAGTCGCCTGTTATTTGAATACGTGTTAGACAGATGCGACGAAACAGAAATACATACAAAAGGAATAGCCTTACTTACGAATCATCATGAAACATAATGATCGGTCGAATTATCTAGAAAAAGCCACTGCCGCAGTATCGTTTGAAACAAAAATATCTGATGGTAATAAAAAATATTCTCTATGTTTTGGCAGACGCATGATTTGCTTTTGTTTTTGTTTTTTCTTAATAAATTTATTGCTCATGAATAAATCTGGAAAGTGATAGCGATTATCTTAAACGTCCACTGAATATTTTTTAGACTGTTTCACAAAACTGAAAGCGAACAGAGACGCATAGTAATTGCCATCCAATCCATAGGTTTTAGGCTTTAATGATAAACGTTTACCTTTAAATTAATTTATTCAAGAAGCTTAAGATAAAACCCCTCGAAAACATTATCAACGGATAAATTTGGTTTTAGGTCTAATGAATTATGTGCATAATTTACTGTCGCTTGAGTAGATGTGCAATTTCACTCGTTATGTGACTTATTTTTTACTTTGATTCTAAATTTAACAATACAGGTGATAAATTAGAGCATACGCTCTCGTTCGTCGATGCAAAACATATATTTATACATTTTTGACATTTAATCTCGGCATAAAAGTCAATCGCAACTTTTCTTGGACGTGCTAAGACTTGCCATTTTTGTCAGTTAAAATGATGGATATTTCTAAAGTACAACATCCGCTCTTGAGCTCGGTAAACAATGAGGCATTTAACATAAGGTAAACCTCAGAGAGAGATGAAATATTGGTATATCATGGTTATTTTAGAATCCATTGCCTTTTATTATTGCTCATCTTGTTCTTCCAAGTTTTAAGTCGCCTTCGGGCTACAATGCATTTGTAACGAATCATTAATTTTTTCTTCTAATTTTTCCTCTCCTTGTCTTATCTGAACATGACAAGAATTCATCACTTCTTGAATTTTCTGATATTTTCATGAAAGCCCGTTTTCAATCCAGGTCGCGTCAGGTTTTATTAAAAAAAATTGCAGTCAAGTGTGGTTTGTTTTGGGGTGTGAAAGTCATTAGTCATAAAGAGTTGATATTTTTTTTTCTAAAGAAAATATAGGAGAAATCTTTGAATCACCGAAAAGGAAAAGTAAACATTGAAAAAAGAAAAAAACTCAAATTTATGGATAAAAATAGCGGTTCAAGTCTACTAGCATTGCAATGTTATGCAAATCTCAATGCGAATTTTTATCGTAAACCGAACATTTCTTTAAGACGAGCGTTCCTTTTCGACGTTCTTCCTTATTTGATTATTTATTTATTTAGGTATCATATATTGACTTATTTATCTATTTATCTATTTTATTTATTTATGCATTCATTATTCATTGCCTTCCTTTCTGTGCAGCTTGTCCGAAATTGAGTAAACGGTCGCTTGTCAACGAAAAGAATATATGTGTCTTAGTTCTTCATCATTGGCGGACAAGATGTCACATTTAAAAGCATTATTATTGACTGGGGCCGTAAATTGTTAAAAAAAGTTTAATAGGCGCAATTCAGGGTTGTGGATAATAAGTGTTGACATGGTCGCCAAGGGAATTTCAAGCGTCTCTTGCATTCAATTAGGAAGAAAAATGGGAACTTACTAACCAAAAGAGACCGACATCTCTATTCTTTGTATTTCTGGTTCTGTTTTCTTTACTTCTTTGACAGCGGGCAGCTGGCTCGGAGATGTAAAGTACAATTGAAATGGGTTCCTTCGCGACAGCCCGTGAAAACATCGAATTTCCTCAGTGAATACTTTAATTTCAAAACATCCAGCCTCTTTTGTGGATTACCCGCGATCGAATGACTTAGTTTGGGGCAAGACATCAGTGCAAAGGTGGGACGTAAAAAGAGATTTCAGCCGCACTTCAGCAAACGGTAAGCGAACGCGAATTATTATTAACCGATATTTGTCTTGTCCCTCATTGTCGCATTCGATGTGAAAAAAAAAAAAGACAGTGTGTAAAAACGGTTATACAGACATTTATCTAGATCTCGTTGTCAAAAGTTGGTGGCAAAAATTAGTTCGTTTCATTTATTTTTAACTGTCTAGCTGATCATGAACGAAAGGAAAAGTTGATGATGTAATTTGGAAAAATTGATATGCGTTTTGCTAGTCAAGTTGTGCCGCACTGATAACAATAAAAAACATTTTCGCAAGCCGGGCGAAGAAAGGAAAGTACATATTTTCTTTCAAAACAAACAAACCAGCTAAGTTTGAATTAGAAAATATCAGAAATGTGCACCCTTTTCTCCCAGGAATTGTTGCTACACAAGGCTTTACTTATAGGCTAATCCGTAGTTCCTCCTCAAGGATTCTTACAGCAAAAGAAACGCCTGGGCCGAAAAACGTAAATAGCGCACACAACCGTGTTTTGTTTGGATAAGATTATGAAACAAGTCTTCTTCAAATGTGTTTTCCGCTAAATCGTCCGAGGGATTCGAAATTTACGTCTCATTTTAATATTTTTCGGGTAATATTACACTCTTTTTAATGATTACGTTGATGGTGCGTCAATTTTTAACAAGGTGGCGAAAAAAACTAAATTGATTTCCGAAATTAACGGCACAATATCAAGGCATGAAATTATTAAGGGCCGAATAATTTTAGTTAAGACTATAAAATATGCTCTGTAATGTCCCTCTCTACCAAATATATCTCAGCATTGCCCAGATCACCCAGATCTTTAAGTAAAGGAAAAAAATCGCTGAGTTTCAGGCATACAGAACTTGTCCTAACTATTTTAGAAACTGTTTTAGAAACATGCATGACCATTTTTCATTCTTAATCGGTGCATTTACTGATCACAGTCGAAAAAAACAACAGTAACAACATGTAAAACATATGTACATGGGGTAAAGTACTGCGCATGCGGAAGTTTCCCAGCGGATCAAGTAAGATTCATGTTAAATTCTGTCAAATTGATGCTCGTCCGTGATCGTAATTACTCGCCACCAGTCTTCAGTTCTGAATATTTTAAGGATGCCAAGTTGGTAATAATTTAAACTCCTGGATTTCATCTGAAGGTAAATGTTGCCCCATCAGAATATTCTTTATTTATTCTGATCATGTTTGCAAATTGTCGACCCCGGTATACAATGACGTGCAAGGCTATATGTATACTTTCACTGTCGAAAGGCCTTCTATTTGAATCAAGATAATCTCATTGGTTGGGGATTCCAAACTTGTAGTTTTGTTATATAAACGATAGGAGCGCGATGGCCTTATGGTTATTGCGCTCGACTCCGGATCGAGTGGTCCGGGTTCGAGTCCTGGCCGGGGACATTGTTTTGTGTTCTTAGGTAAGACACTTCAACCTCGCAGTGCTTCTCTTCACCCAGGTTTTTAAGTCGGTACCGACGAATCTATTGCCGGGAGGTAACCCTGCGATGGACTACCATCCCACCCAGGAGGTAAGAGAATACTCCTAGTCGCTTCATTGTAGCTACGCCACTTGGCTCATATACAGACTTTACCTAGGAGCACCCTGTATAGTACCATGGTGGCACGGTTTCGAACGAATACTGTCGAATCCTCAGCAATTTCTTCTTCTTCTCTTGCAAGTTCTTACTTTTTATGATCTTATATTTTAATGTTATGTGTAACAAAAAAAATTTCATTCCAGTTATCTCTGGATTGGTACTTATCTTGCTTTGAATATCTCGACCTAAATTCGTATTCAGCGTGCGTTCCAAAATCAACAAAAAGGTGTTTTTCAGAATCAGGTGTCCACATTCAAATATTACAAAGTCGTTCTCAGAATCCTTTCCTTTACAGTGTCACTTCTCGTTCGATATATTAAGTTAGAATTCCATATGAGATATAAAAGTCATAAGGCATCTATACTTCTGTGCAAGGCAATGCTTGCAAACTCCTATTCGTAATTACCAAACAGTTCGATTTAGACAGAGAAGTAATGGGCATAATAGATATGGATAAAGGGTGATAGTTTCTAAAGAAACTGTTTGGGCTGCTTCGGTGGGGGTAACGAAATAATTTGAATATATCAACAAAGTTGAAATGGCCACAACTTCGCTCCGACGAAGGGCTAACGCTCGAAACGTCAGCTTTTATAATCGTAACGGTGGCCAATTTACCATTTCAACTTTGTTGATATATTCAAATAATAGATATGGAAATGTGAAGTTTGGGCTCCCGCCTTATGGCCAACACAAAATCCGTGCTTGTAAACCCCAGGAAGCAAACGGCCTATAGGTCAAGGCCAGAGCTCTAAGGACTGTTTTTAAAATATCTGTAAAACTCACAAGGCTCATTTCTAAATTTAACCGGTGACAACCATGACTTTCAAGAAACGTACTCCCTGGTGTGCTCATGGACAAGAAAGTTTTTCAACACCTTTATGACGGCATGAGTAGAAATTGGGTGCTGCCATGGCTATCTGTCAGGAAAGTGGTCGGGGGATAGAGTAACCTGCCATGAATTGATTGACATTCCATCCGTGAGATGCGTAATCCACTTGGCTTGTGTTAAGACTTCATTTGACGTCGTAGTATTTAACGAAAGGAAGGTTCGAGAACCGAAAGGAAATTTAGTTTTGAAAAATTGTACATTTTTTTAGATAGCCTTCGTGATGTGTTCGGATCTACCTAGTGCAATGTTTTTTTTCCGCATACGTCAGCCACTTCTGTACCAAAGATTCTCTTTCTTTGTTAAATTAAAGCTGTCTGCTTCCCTGCCCAGACCACCTGTCTTCAATCTTCTATAGGTGGGATTATTTTCCGCTCAAGGGGATTCGATGATTTGACAGTGTCGATACAGAAATATAATTCAGCTCCTTGATAGATCGATATATTTCGCCTTTTATAAATGCTATCTCTAATTTTTCATGCAACACTGTAGTTTGCTGTCTAACATGACATGGCGTTATGTTATTTTCAGGTTGGTAAATCATCAACATAGATAACGAGGATAATGGACGTGTTTGCTTTCTTCTGATTGGTTTTATAACTAACACGTTTATTTCTTACTTGACGGTTTTAGTAAGTATACAAACTTGTCCTTAAAATGGCGAGCTGGTAAATAAGAATTGTTGGGTTTTAAATCGCAATGATGATGCCCTCGATCAAGATTTTCTTCGGTCCACCTCGAGAAGGATAAAGTCTGCAAAAAGACCCAGTAGGAAAAGATTTTAAATTTTTTTCTGTAAGCTGATTTTAGGAACGAAGATCTTGCACTTCCAGCCAACTGGAAGGATTTTCTCCCCATGATGTAGGACGAGAAAATCATCAATAAGACCTAAAAAAAAAATAAATAAAAAGGGGCCTGGTAGTTAGCTTGACTCGTCCTGTGTTCCACAGAATTATACGTTTATCGAGTGGTCTCCATTACAAAAAGTAATTTTTCTTTCTACGCGGCGGGCTATCTATTATTGAAGTGCGAAATTTTGGCGTGCGTCTATTTCCTGTAAACAAAGAGAAGATGAAGTGTTCTGCTTTTCTACTCTTAACATACAGTGACAAAAAAATTTGAATACTGCCGAAGGGACACATAGTTTAAAGAAAATGCCCTGAGATAAGCAACTGCGAAGTCGTAAAACGGACCCGTTGAATCAGATTTTGTCAATGATATTGCTTTGTTTTTCTCAGTTAAAGGAAGCACCTTCTGGAGCTTGAGGATCTTTTAGTCGAGGGAAATGCAAATCTGGATTTACACGGTAAGCGGAACAACTATCGGTCATGGTTTGAATGTCACCAGTAGATGTTCTCTCGATGTATATGAATAACAGAATGTAATATTTTTTTTGTTATTGAAAAGCTTCAATATTCAGGAGTCAAGGGCAGCAATCTGAATTGTTGAAGACCACAGCTAAATTGTTTTTTAAAAGATTATACTGTTATAAAATGACGAAGACGATTTTTCAAGCGTTCACAAAAACAAAAGTTTGAACGACATAAAAAAAGCACTTCCCTTATTGAAGAAATTAAGAATACACATTTAAAAGTTCAAGACGCTTCTTCCTAAACCAGTCATTCTAATTTTACATTTAGGTATTTTATTTTTCCAATAAGACCATTTTATTAGGACCTTAGGATTCATAATCTTTAACTTTTATCAGACAATTTCAGTTAGGATCTAATTGGGGAGCTTCGCCTACAGCAAGTCTCATCTCTTTCCACGCTGCTCCTTTTTTTCCCCGAAATTTCACTTTTAATTATTCAAAACTTTCCACAGACTGCTAATTGCGGTGTCAATGTCCTTATTGCCGCAGATGTCGAGAATTTTTGTTACAAATATTACAAATAACGTCTTCTGTATAATATCTCCGTCTAATTTATTTACTATCTCCAAGTCTTTACCCTGACTCGCTTTTTACCTTTACAAGAGTCTTGAAAATTTTACTTTTATCAAGTTACAGTTCTGTCATCCTTCTATCCTCAATTGCGAATTGCGTGGTTGAATACATTTACTCTTATAGGTTTTTATAACCACATGGTATGGATGCTTGAATGTTGTATACTGTCGGGCAGTAAAGCCGCCTTTTTCATCCGGGACATCCGTTATCGCGCAGAGGACGGTCGTATCAGCTACACCAACAATATCGGGTAAAATATCATTGGAATTTGCAGTTATAGAAAAAAATATGATTCTGCCCGCAACAATGAAACGTTGAGTGCATTGTATCTTCCTGCATAATTTATCACTTCATTTTACATGGGTTTTGTTTAAGTAGTTGATCATTAGAATGCACTTTGATACCACAAGTCTGTTATATCGATTTGCGTACTGTTTGTTTTTGTCGGTGCCTCTCATCTGTTTTGCCTGGGGAGAGTAAAACATGTTTTTATGTGTTTCGATGTTAATTAGCGGCCAGAACAGGGAGCTAGATTTAATTGAAATGGTGATAGTAAAAACTTACCGGCTTATTCTATAGATCTTTTTGTTTTTATTTATTCATGTTTTTTAATTTTTTGATATATTATATGCAGCAGTGTACACATAGTGCCTTTTGAGCTCGCTGATTGACTAGCTTAGAGATTAGTAGGAAAGAACCATTCAGCTTCTAGAACAGGCAGAAAGATAAAATGGCTCTCCTCTCTCACTGGTTACTAAACGGGAAATGTTTTCGATAACAGGGCTCACGGAAAATACAAGAATGACAACAAAGTTTGAAAAACTGTTTGATTGCAGAACATTGTGATTTTATTGTAAAAAAATCGTCAAAGAACAGATAGAGAGTGCTATCAAAGTGGAAGATTAAGTTTTAAAGGTTTTATATCAGTTGCATAAATTGAAGAAATGTTACCTCGGTAACAAAAACTTCTAAAAGTCCTACTTATCTGCAACGAAGCGAAATGAGAACTTTTCAAACAATAAGACATTGTTTACCACGAGTAAGTATTGCACGAGGAAAAATTCATCAGTCTGATTTCCGACCATCTGTCAGTAAAATGTCAGAAATTAAGGATTCGTTTGGTCTACTAGCTATTGAAATTATCTGGTGTATAACAAAAAAATTAATAACCTCAGTGTCTAAAAATAGTGGGTATCTACACCGTCGAAAAATATCCACCTATATATTCACCTCTTCGCCCATAAAAACTGAATGTTATTTTTAACTATGAATATG